AGACACTCAAAACAACTGTCTAGGAGCCCCATATGTTTCGAAGACAATACAAAACCCGCACTTAATTTGAAAAGCCTAGTAGGACTCCGCGCCATCTGCTGAACCATACATTTAAAAAGAAATATTGTGCTCATCGGCATGGCACATGATGATAATAGTCCATGGAAGAGCGAGAGAATGAGCGATTTTTTTTTTTTTTTTTTTATTTTCACTGAAAAAGGGGTGGTGGGCCAAACAAGTTTGGGAATCACTGGCTTCGATCAATATGCGGACGTGTTTAGGGGATTCAACTGTTTTGCAATGACGCTATCAGAGCGTGGTGCATGTCGGGTCGTGATGTCATCTAAAGTGTGTACATAAGTGTGGAATCTGGCGGGGATTTTGCTTTCAATGCTTGGTCCGTTGGATGTAGCCCATACCTTCGGATTCCTGTGTTGAGGCATGTATATCTTTGTGAACTGAAGACAGAGGATAGACAATGTCGATTGAAATGATATTCGACTAATGTGGTGTGTGTAACCGAGGAACCTCTTTGTTTTATTGTTTGGCGAGGTGATAAGGTAAGGAAGTTATTGTTGACGTTACTTCATAGTAAATTACCCTTTTCCTCGCCTTTAGTCGGACTGGGTATATAGGGCTAGACCTATATTTTATAGACCAATCGGGACTTGGTGGGTTATGTGGTCAATATAAATCCGGCCGCTTTCACTTCTCATGACTGCACCTGGTACCCACACAAAGCTGGGTCGACCTGAGAGTCAGGGTCAGTTTTGAAGAAAGCCTGGCTTAGTCAGTGCCCGAACCCACGACTTTCCGATCCGCAAGCGAGCATGTTATTTAACAGTGGTAGCTATTAACAGAGATATCTTACCCGTGTGGATTTACCCATTGCCATGTTACAAGCATGTCGTAATAGTAGACAAAATAGAGGTGTTTCCTTCGAAGTCTGAGTGCATCTGCCTAGGAGGCAAGGAACAAACAGCATGCATATAAATCTGTAAAACGGATGTGCAATCAAAGCTAAAGTTCTGGAACAAGACCAAAGTCCAAAAGTGGACAAACAACCATAACTTTCCCCATAGTTTATTGAAAAAGAAAAAAAGAAGAAGAAGAAGAAGAAGAAGAAGAAGAAGAAGAAGAAGAAGAAGAAGAAGAAGAAGAAGAAGAAGAAGAAAAAAGAAGAAGAAGAAGAAGAAGAAGAAGAAGAAGAAGAAGAAGAAGAAGAAGAAGAAGAACTCCCCAGACCATCAGCTTCCACAAAGTATATTGTACGGTAACTCTGACAGGGGGAAAAGTTGCAGGTTGACAATGAAACAAAACACCGCTTTAAGACAGCTTTGGCATTAGGCAGAAAAATGAGAGGCTTGCAGAAGACCGATCTAAACGGCGAAAAGCCATCAAGCGTGGCATGGCACATCAGCCAGTCAGACAGCGGATGTTGCGTTGGCATAGAAAACGTGGCATACTAGAAAGAACCGTTTAGCAAATCCGGCATTGACGAACGCTTTCATCTGCTGTCTGTGCGGTTCAAGAGCTTGTCCTGATTCATCGGTAATCTTCGTACTTACAGTAATTGATCATTACTATTTTGGTCATCGAAGGCAAAAGACTGATAACGTTATTTAATAGCGGTAGCATTTTTTCAGCACCTGACCGAACAGTAGAACGTTAGGCTTTCATGCAGGGGACCCTGGTTCGAATCCTCGGCAAGGTGGGGATTTTTTTTTTCTGTCGGGGGCAAAATAAAATTCTCACCAGCAACGGTCCGTGGCGACAAGCACGAGCCACGCGACCCTAAAGCCTCCGACTCAAAGACCCCCTGCCTACACTGCAGAAATGGTATTTTAAAAAAAAGCAGTAATTTGTAGTTTTTGGCAGTATTGTCTTGACTGTGATATTGTTATGTCTTTATGAAAATTGAACATCAAGAATAAGACTTATAAAGAGCAAACATCGAGAGATGGGCTTATAAATAAGAGCCCAAAGAAACTGGCTTATAAGTTGAGAACATCATAATTTGGAATGGTTGTTGGATACAATTAAGAAATGGGGGAGATAAATGGACAGGACACAACAGACGTCGTCAACAATCGTTGAAAATTTTTGGTGTAGGAAACATGGAGACGTGCCCCTGCAACTTGGCACCCGAAAAATGCGCAGAATGTGATCCGACACTGTATGCTGACAACAGAGACGCAATCTGGCCTTTTCCAATCACAATGAAAACAAACCTGTATGGTACACGAGAAGATATGGATTGCACGATAGCTTTCATAAAGGCTACCGGCCTCCTGATGAAAGTTTTCTGACAGAAGGATCGAAGAAGAAGAAGAATAGATGGACTGATAAATGGACAACACCAAGAGATGGGATGTATATTGCAGAAAGTACAAGAGGTATGATGAAGGGTGGACACTGTCACGCTTATACAGAACAATAAAAGATAAGATGTTGAATAAGGAACATAAAGAAACGAAACAATATAAAACATTAAGGTGTGTATTGATACTTGAACAACACTGAAAGATAAACAGAATAAACTGAGGGAATACGGTGCATCTGTTCTTTTTATAACCTTTCTTTGTGCATGATGCTTATTTCTAACATTCCAGGTACCTATTCTTAGAACTTTTTTTTTCTTTCTCCTTACATTCTAGCTTCAGTGACTGTGTCACATAAAGCAAAACTTGAGAACCACTGGGGGCACTAGTCACACGCTTCCATATCTCGATCCAGGACACGTTTTGTAGGTTGTAACTTTTCGATTGTCACAACGTTTGTGAGATAAAGTTTAATATCTAGCGACCTTCTGGTTGGGGAGAAGGGTGGGCGGGGGGTGGGGGGTGATCTTAACAATGGTGATAAACGTAATGTGTTATCAATTGTACAACATAGCTCAAAATACATAATCGTAAACAAAAGAGCAGCACACACAGGATGCAATGAGAAGGTGAAGGACCCTTCTCACACCTTCATCTACGGGGCATAAAGTGCCTGACCTCGACACATTAGAGTGGTTGCTGTAGTAGTAAGGCATGGAAATCGACCAGAGAAGCAGAAAACCAGTTACTCGCGGCAGAGATGTGGCTTTTAAGAAGAATGCAAAGATCATCATGGAGGGATAGAAAATTAAAAAAAAAGTGAGCAGTCGTCATCGAAAGATATGACAGTCATACACGTATCAGAACAATTAGATGCATACAGTCAGTGTTGTTCGGATATGTTGAGAACTTGGTAAAAACCGGTAAGATTGATGGAAAGAGAGCAAGAGGAAGGCAAAGAGATAAATACCTGAATGGCCTGGCCAAATAAATGGGGCGAGAGAAACACATTGACCTGATCCCTGATTCTAGTGATCGTGTGAGAGATAGCGAAACACGGCAGTCTGCGGTTGCCGGCAAAACGCATGCTGATGATGATGATGATGAGGATGATGGTGATGATGATAATGATAATGAGGATGATGGTGATGATGATGATGAGGAGGATGAGGAGGATGATGAGGATGATGATGATGAGGATTAGGAGGAGGATGAGGATGATGATGAGGATGATGATGATGAGGATGATGAGGATGGGGGGATAATGATGATTATGATGAGGATGATAATGATGATGATGATGATGATAATAAGGATGGGGATGATGATGATGAGGAGGATGATGATAATGATGAGGACGACGATGATGATGATTATGATGATGAGGATGAGGATGATGATGAGGATGAGGATGATGATGAGGATGATGATGATGAGGATGAGGTTGATGAGGATGAGGATGATGATGATGAGGATGATATAGTGTGAAGGTGTGTCGATGAGCGTAAAGCGTTCAACAAAAGAAGAAGTAGACTATTATAGCAATGCATTTTCACAGACTATATACATGTTCAATTTGGTCTCTTCCATAAAAAATAAAAGCTGACTATATATTTATATTTTCAATTTGCTTTCTTCCAGGTAAAATATCAGTTCACCAAACAGGTAATCTTGTCATCAAAGCAGCCACGAGTCCGGCAATAACAGAAAAAAAATCTAAAATCCTAAGTTGTGATTTTCGCGCGCAGTACGCCATCAAACGGAGACACACTGCCCAGTTTCAACAGCACTGCATTAAACAGAACGCTATTTGTGCAGTGTTGCGTTTTTCCTGTAAAAGAAATTATTTTTAAGTATTAGGTCTAAACCTTTTGTTGAATTATAATTGCTAATTATCTGCAGCCAAGCGTGACTGTGGATTTAATCAGTGGATTGGCGTATTTTAATTCTAGCTAGGGTTACTGGAAACGGATAAATCCTCATGGAAAAGTTGAGGGATGCCCCCGGGCGCTTGTTCTAACTTCTATTTTCTAATGCAAATTAATTAAAACACGTCTTTAGAGTCGTACAGTTCTACATTCGAATAGAAAGAAATCAAAATAATCGCCATCCTGTCAAAAATATGTGTTTATGTTTGAATGAGATGTTGTTTTCACTAACAGATTTCGAGATAAACAGAACATAAATTTGTGGCGTATTTATATAAGTAATCAAATATTCCGATCAACATATCTCTTCATATAATAAAACGTTAGTTGTATATCCTGTACAAAACATTGCAAGCCAAACTCAGCATTTGATGGCTGTCTGTGACATTAATAGGCAGTTTTACATCTGGTTGTTTGTCATTGCTTTCTAAGCTGTTTGACGTTACTTTATTTGTCGAATACATACAAAACTGTACAGTGACTAACCCCTGCAGCCGATTTCAATCTCAGGGATGCCGAAATTATTAAACTTTGTTTAATACCTTGGGATGCCTTAGGATAAGGTAAACACACATTCATGAAATCTTCACATCACCAAGTTAACATTCCGTTAGAAACAGTTCTTCGTATATGAGTAAATTACATTTCAGCCGTTATTATGTGAGACAAGTTTTTAGTGAAGCCAAATTATTTACGAACTGAACATCTCCAAAACATTTTTTCTCAAGAAAGAGTTTACACATTTTTCAAAATGAGCCAGATTTCAACAATTTTACAGAACAATGTCCTACTCAAGAATATGTCTCCACTAGACCTGAAATCGCATTTAGTCCCAGAACTTATCAGTGGGAAGAGAATTAAACATTTGAGTTCGGGCGGAAACATATACAATGGGAAACGATATGATTATATTTTGAGAATTATACTTCTTGGAGACCAGGGAGCTGGGAAGAGTTCGTATGTGACTGCCTTGAAAGTTCACCCGGATGTGAAAAAGGTTAATTGTGTTTGTCGGGTTGGCATGGCAACTGATTATCTGGAAATCGAGGTTGTAACTAGCACAGAAAAAACAGCGCTTGTACGGCTATGTGATACTGGAGGTGAGTTGGTGTTTGTCTGTAGATAAAAATTATTGTGTACGACAGAATAAAGGTAGACATACTGTGTGACAGCACCATCTTTAACTGACTCCGCCAAAACATCGCATTATATGTTCTGTAACATTTTATATTTAGTCAGAAGATACTGACTAATTTTTGTGCTTTATTAATATCCTACCCCAAACAGGGGAAATCAATAGGTCCCTGGACAGTCTAAAATTTTAGGGGGTGGTAGATAGGCTGTATGCATCCTTGGGACCTAGGCTGCATGCAGTCGTGGGACCTAGGCTGCACTTTCTCGTGGGATGGGGCGGGTTGGGGGTTAGGGCCAGTTCTAGATGTTTTGGGGTCATTAAAAGCATCAAAAAGCTGGGAAACCCAGTCTTGCCACCCTCTAAAATGTTGGACTGTCATGTGACGTCATCTGGGGGTAGGATATTATAAAAGCACCAAAATATGGCTAACTTAGTAGCTGTTTGAATTTATATTTTATCGTTTTGGGAGCCACACACTCGTTATTTACATAGCGGTTATTTTCCCTTTTCTTTGTCTGTTGTGAAAACTCTGGCACTGAAAGAGGCGGCGTACTTAACATGATATGGTTATACAACAAAAACTCACACATCAGCAGGTCCTTTACAGAACGTCACTCCGCTCACGGCACGCATCCAAGTCTCTGTTTCTAGCCAGTTTTCCAGCACTGTGTGCTTTCATAGCCAACGCATCTTCAATGTAATGTATCCCCATTCGTGGAGGTCTGCGTGTGGGCTGTTTTCTGGAAACTGAACCTTTCAACGCTGTTCTTTCCAGGCCACCATTACGTTTAACATAACACCTCAGGATGCTGTTAATGAGCCAATTCTCCTTGATGCTTATATCATGAAGGATGTCAGGGGCATACGGTTGGCTTATCGATATCACTGTCGAAACCAACGCTAGACAAACCGTCCACAGCTGGGATCGAACCCGGCGCCGCGGCATTACGAATGTTTAATGATGAATGTCAGAGGGCCGCGTTAGCGCAGTCGATAAGCTGCTCGCTTTCAAATCCAGCTGCGATTCGGCGTAGCCCACGGTCGGTATTCGAAACCGGGCGGCTCCCGGGGTTCACCCAGCCTCTAGGAAATGGGTACCCAGAGTTGGCACTCTGGAGGTAAATAGAGGAACGTCGCTGTAGCTACAGAGTTACGTGCGAACGGCGACACAGGCGGTCAATTCTTATCAGCTGTTCGTACTGGTGGCAGAGCACTTATGATTTGTAACCGTGTGCAATGACGCCGGTTCACATCTCCCGACTTTACCTTTACCTTTTTATGGAGAATGTCAGTGTTTTTCGTCTTCTTAGTCCGAGGCTAAACAAATTAGTAGCTTATCCTTTACAGGACGTTGCAGAACCAACCCCGGCATTTTTTGTGTTGCTGTTGTGGTTTTTCTAGGCACGTTTACGACAAGTAGTTTACATTGCTTTCTGGACGGCCGGTTTATCTATACCACTGTCGAAACCAACGCAATTCAAACCCTCAGCAGCTGGGATCGAACCCAGCGCCCCGGCATTACGAAGCGCGTTTGCAACGCCTAAGCCCCATACGTCGTATTTCTAAGAATGTTTCATTAGCATTTCATTTGGAAAGCTCCGATTTATTTGTTTCAATCAGCACTGGGGCATCATTGAATTTGAATCGGACAGCTCTTTAACCACACTATTTTATGTTCAGGGCAAGAGAGGTACAGAAGCCTGACATCTTCCTACTACAGGGGAGCACATGGAGCTCTGTTGATGTTTGACTTGAAGCACCCAAAGTCGCTGGACAATGTACATTCGTGGTGAGAAATTCTATATCATCATCATCATCATCATCATCATCATCATCATTATTATCGTCTTCATCATCGTCATCATCATCATCACTATCATAATCATCAATATCAGCATAATTTCTTCTTCTTCTTCTTCTTCTTCTTATTTTTTCTTCTTCTTCTTCTTCTTCTTCTTCTTCTTCTTCTTCTTCTTCTTCTTCTTCTTCTTCTTCTTCTTCTTCTTCTTCTTCTTCTTCTTCTTCTTCTTCTTCTTCTTCTTCTTCTTCTTCTTCTTCTTCTTCTTCTTCTTCTTCTTCTTCTTCTTCTTCTTCTTCTTCTTCTTCTTCTTCTTCTTCTTCTTCTTCTTCTTCTTCTTCTTCTTCTTCTTCTTCTTCTTCTTCTTCTTCTTCTTCTTCTTCTTCTTCTTCTTCTTCTTCTTCTTCTTCTTCTTCTTCTTCTTCTTCTTCTCCTTCTTTTTTTTTCTTCTTCTAAACATAACGATTTGTAAATAATGTTATCTATGTCAAAGAGGTTCATTTGTCTTCTACACCAGTTGCCCTAGTTACGTTACTGATACTATAAAAGGGCTTTAGATCCATCAAATGACAGACCTGTTCACTTCTGATTGCGCCGTGTCAAAGTGCAACCGATTATCTGACTCCTACTATCACAATTTAATCCAGACAATTATTTTCAAATTATCTACCTAATGCCGGAGGACTAGGAATGAAGTTACTTGAGTTGTAATAGAGAAATACAACAACAATAAGAACAATATTTTGACCATATTACAAAGACATAACGATCCTTTACAGTGACCATAAAACAGTTAAAAGCTATCGAGCAAGAAATAGAAAGAAATGCAAGTCGGTTGATACTGGAAAGAGGTGGATGAAAGAGTGGACAACTTGAGAGAGAGAGAGAGAAAGAGAGAGAGAGAGAGAGAGAGAGAGAGAGAGAGAGAGAGAGATCCCTAACTGCCAGCCTTTATTATGAAATCGGCATCCAATTTATAAACCTATTTGCTACCTGGAAGGCTAATCCAAGCAACAAAATCCTGAAGAGGTCAGATGTGTCGAACGAAAGGCCCAAATATCGCAGCCATGTTGTGAATTGCAACCTTGCAATTACATCATGTGATGAGCTAAGAGGAAGAAGATAAAGAATCCCTTCAAAGTGTGGCCATCAGGAGGACTATGTGAGCTCTCAGTTAGCCATTGGATTGTGTAACGTGCTGATCGCCACTTCTAAAAAGTGCTGAAGGAAATGAAACACTTCAGAGCAAATCTGAAAATGACTCAGATGTTATCGTTCCCACCAGGAGTTTGATATCAAGCAGGGTTTTTAAAAATGGGACCAAGGAACGAGAGACGCGTGATTATCAAAGTGTTTTGGACATAAATATATGTGGAAAGCTTGTGTATTTTATGTAAATGTCTGTGTATGTTTGTGGGTGTGCGTATGTTTTGTGTGTGCATGTGTGGGTGTTTATTTCCTGGAGCAAAGCGGACATACTTGGTTGTGTGTTTTTTTTATTACCATTGTTGGTGTCTGAACTGTTTGTCTTCCTTGTTGAGGAATGGATGTTGCATGTTCAGCTGGGTGTGCAGCCTTTCAAAAGCGTGACGAAAAAAAAAAAAACACCTGTCCATTGCTACCTTATTTACAATTTGTTTTCGGTGTAGGCTAAAAAAAAAAGGTTTTGGGGTGGTATCTTTGAGCTTTAGGATTTAGGATTCATGGCTTGTGCTGTCACCACATAATTGCCACTTTTCGGATCTATCCAAACCCAAAAACTGTTTTCAGTACTTTTTGACAAGGTAAAATACTCAAAAATTTAAAACTTTTAAATGGTGGTCCACAGAACATTATGTTGAGAAGCTCGCACTCCTACGAAATACGCTGGCCAAATCAGATGGAGCTGAAACCAAGGAGAAAACATCAGAAATGACAGGGCAAGAAGAACGCAGTTGATAACAGGATAGGGAATGAGTGGTCTGATTTGGAGGAAAGAAGCCCAGAGACAGCGCAAATACCAGAACTTTAGCCACCAAAGTTTTTTAATTTTTTCTTAAAAGAAATAAGTTTTATGATAAAATCCCAAGACTGACTGAGAACTGATTTACTCGTGGCGACTTCTTTTTTTTCGTCGCACTATTTGACCTTGGTTTTCTGTATTTGTTATGTTCTTCTGAACTGAAGTGAGTGGTGGATTTGTTCATCCTTCGATAGGAGCCAGCATCACCGTTTATCCATCTCTTCCTTGATATTCCTCTCACTCTTCGCCCGGATAATTTATAGATGGTATTTAGATGGTCTCAAAATGGAGTTTTGTTCCTACAAATGTAGATACATAAATGACATCATTCTCTTTCTTTCTGGGAATTTTAGTGGTGAAGTGGTCAATCAGTTTGCCTAGCGTTCTGTTTATGCTGCCATGCGTTGCAAGAGAGGATTTGTATGTAGTTTCCTGGCTTTAGCTTGCTGAGTAGCAGCTTCTGTAAATGTCATTCACACACACACACACACACACACACACACAAATATATATATATATATATATATATATATATATATATATATATATATATATATATATATATATATATATGTATATATAATACCCAGAAACCATGAGTTCTTAATCCTTTGGCTCGGTACTATGGATACCGCAACCCGTCGGCCTTGAATCCATGATAGGTACCGTAAATCTGGGAAAAATGTGGTTTTTCTGCCTAACCCCGGGCGTAAACCTAGACCACAAGGTGTTCGTCACCCGATCGTCGCGAAGTCGGGTTTAGCCAACTACGCTAGCGAGCCGGGCATATATATATATATATATATATATATATATATATATATATAAGGAGAAATAAATCCATGTAAAGAAATTACGTATTTACAAAGCTTGCCAAATGAAACTAAGGCTTTATTCCTAGCCACTTCATCAAAGTTATTCTATTTAGATGGTTATTTAGATGTGACCTAGTTGTTTTGGCAATAAGGTAGACAGACTTCTAGAATCTGTTCAAGCTTTTAAACAAATAACACTATCCCACACAAAGGCAGAGGAACGTAAAAACCAATTGCTACCAGACAAACGCAAAACTTGAGTCTCAAACTACGAAGTATTTTATTTTGGTTTCCACGCATATGTATATATGATGACGGGGGCAATTTTTATTTTAAATAGTTTATAGAGTCTGTTTATCTTTTGAATTGTCATTTAATGTTGTTTATGAGATGCATCTTAATAAGAGAAGACCAATGAATGAAAGATAGGCTATGTAATGTCTGCCTCTTTTAATTGCCTTTTCTTGAAATGAATACCCTCAGTTCCTTTCGGCATCTCTCTTTCCCTCCCTCCCTCTCTCTCTCTCTCTCGCTCTCTCATCCCACTTCCTCTCTCTCTTTCAGTCTATCCATCCCTTCGCTTATTCATCCAGGTATTGGCCCCTCCGTCCTAGCCACCTAGCCACTACCGTACTATCTACCTACCAACCTTCCTGTCGACCTGCCTATCTATCTATCTATCTATCTATCTATCTATCTATCTATCTATCTATCTATCTATCTATCTATCTATCTATCTATCTATCTATCTATCTATCTATCTATCTATCTATCTATCTATCTATCTATCTATCTATCTATCTATCTATCTATCTATCTATCTATCTATCTATCTATCTATCTATCTATCTATCTATCTATCTATCTATCTATCTATCTATCTATCTATCTATCTATCTATCTATCTATCTATCTATCTATCTATCTATCTATCTATCTATCTATCTATCTATCTATCTATCTATCTATCTATCTATCTATCTATCTATCTATCTATCTATCTATCTATCTATCTATCTATCTATCTATCTATCTATCTATCTATCTATCTATCTATCTATCTATCTATCTATCTATCTATCTATCTATCTATCTATCTATCTATCTATCTATCTATCTATCTATCTATCTATCTATCTATCTATCTGTCTGTCTATCTGTCTGTCTGTCTGTCTGTCTGTCTGTCTGTCTGTCTGTCTGTCTGTCTGTCTGTCTGTCTGTCTGTCTGTCTGTCTGTCCGTCCGTCCGTCCGTCCGTCCGTCCGTCCGTCCGTCCGTCCGTCCGTCCGTCCGTCCGTCCGTCCGCCCGCCCGCCCGCCCGCCCGCCCGCCCGCCCGCCCGCCCGCCCGCCCGCCCGCCCGCCCGCCCGCCCGCCCGCCCGCCCGCCCGCCCGTCCGTCCGTCCGTCCGTCCGTCTGTCTGTCTGTCTGTCTGTCTGTCTGTCTGTCTGTCTGTCTGTCTGTCTGTCTGTCTGTCTGTCTGTATGTCTGTCTGTCTGTCTGTCTGTCTGTCTGTCTGTCTGTCTGTCTATCCATCCATCCATCTGTTCGTCCGTCCATCCGTCTGTCTGTCTGTCTGTCTGTCTAATCTATTTAATCTATCTGTCTGTTTGTCCGTATGTCTGTCTGCCTGCCTGTATGTCTGTCTGTCTAGCTGACTACCTGCCTACTTACCTGACTACATACTTGACCTAAGTAGCTACTTATCTACCTGACTACCTACCTACCCAACTAGCTACTTACCTACCTGACTTCTTACCTAACTAGCTACTTATCTACCTGACTACTTACCTAACTAGCTACTTACCTACCTGACTACACACCTAACTAGGTACTTACCTATCTGACTACCTACCTAAATAGCTACTTACCTACCTGACTACCTACCTACCCAACTAGCTACTTACCTACCTGACTACTAACCTACCCAACTAGCTACTTACCTACCTGACTACCTACCCAACTAGCTACTTATCTACCTGACTACCTACCCAACTAGCTACTTACCTACCTGACTACCTACTGAACTAGCTACTCACCTACCTGACTACCTACCGAACTAGCTACTTACCTACCTGACTACCTACCCAACTAGCTACTCACCTACCTGACTACCTACTTAACTAGCTACTTACCTACCTGACTACCTACCCAACTAGCTACATACTTACCTGACT